TCCTCACAAGATGGTTAGACCCCCCTGGCACCCACCCCAACCATCTTCTCAGGAGGTGGTTGGAGCCCTAGGGTACAATCAGGAGTTGGGATTGTGCATTGAGTTTGGTCCTGTAAGAGATGATTCTGTTCATTGGGGGGGGGGCCTGCGCCGGTTCACGCCGTCATGGACTTCTACCAGGGTTACTTGTGATTGCCTGCTACCTTTCGTTCACCCCCTCCTCGCTCAAGTGGTGATGTGATAGGGTGATAGGTCCGAAAAAGTGTTGGAAAAGGGGATTATCTCTAAGTTCTAGTCTAAGAGATGTGTTTAGTTTTGTATTTTGTAGGGTTATTTTTATATGTGGTATGCCTTCAAGACACTTCCAAGAACTCTCGGAACATGTAAGGACTCCATTGAAAGTCTCTTGAAGGCGTGGAAGAAAGATGTCGATGTCATCAAAGAAGTCAATCCTCTCCTTTTGAGGAGTTCTTTGCTGAAGATCCCCACCCGCGGGGAATTTGATCGCTTGCTTTTGTGGGACAGTGTACGTGTTGAAATCCCTACCCTATTACTATATACCGAGTACCTATTAGGAAGCACGAATTAAATATACAAAAAGCAATACATCATCACCCTGCATGTCTTATATCCCAGACACTCCATGTCTGTCATATATGTCTATAATTAGGTTGACCCCTCAAACCACCCCAATGTAGGTAGGCCCACGGAGTGTTTTGGGGTATACTGTAGTTCTTAGCTAATGTGTTACAAGACAATTCCAAGACTTGGTGAAGCATGACCTATGAGGGAGGCAATATGAGGCTTCTTTCCTGGACCCACGTGAGCGCTTTCCGTCTCAATCTGTTTCGGACGGCTTTGCCTCCCGGATCTCATAGGTTTCAGGGTGGTTGTTACATATGCTTCGCAGTGGAAATCATGGTGTCAAGCAGCTTTAGGAACCCTTCGTGGTCAATGTTTGCAGGGTTCATCCACCGGCCGACATACCATCTGACCGACGATGTCAAAGGTTAGCCAAGTTTGGATATACCAACATTTCTGAACTTGAACTTTCCCATCATTCATGATCTAAGTATGACGTCAATCTGCTTTCTTGTTTCGATGGTGCTCCCATGGTGTATTACACGCATATATACGTTTATTACATGCTCCTTCGGGTGGTGGCAGTGACCGATGGCACGTGTCTATCGGGGTTATCAGGGTGGCGGTTCCCTCCTTCAAAAAAACACCCCCTTCAGGTCACGGAACAGGTCACCAGTGGCCCTGCTGCCTTCCATCCGATCCCTATGGCCCTCACAACGCTATTAGCTTGCAATTGAAGCCCATCGCTGGGTGAAGCCTGCATCGCGCGGTGCCCAGGAGAAGCCCTCGGCCGCCCGCGCCCGCCGCGAGCGCCGTCGCCGCCGGGGCTTGGAGACGGTGACTCCGCCGGACTTCGAGGAGACCGGGATGAACGACGAGCGTTGACGAGCGTTGGAGCTTTAATGGATTGGTATGAATCATACATTACCAGCACCTGACTCTGCAGGTCTCCGAAATGACTGAAAAGTCGCAGGTGGTGACCTGTTGGAGGGTCCTGGTATAGATAGATGGATAGATAGATAGATAGACTATATACTGTATATTAAATCTAACGGTCGGTGCTGTGTTTTTTGCCTTGCTTGGTGGGTTGAGTTGTGTTGTTTTCTTGCGCGGGGGTGGATGTTTCCTTGTGCGTTTCTTGGATTCATGGACGAGCTATTATATATATATATATGCATTAATATAATTATTGATTGTCTGTCCGTACGGCGTGTGTTAGAGCTACTTGCACAAGCAGTCTCCCCAACACCTGCGTAAAGAATGCAAGGGACTTTTGTATGAGTGATAAGGAGGGCCTTCCCCATAATGTTCTGACATTGAATTTCTCATACGGACGTTCTACAACTTATCAGAATCTCAGAATCATGCTTAAACCAAAGGGTCTTGGGGGGGTGAGTGTGGGGTCAATGGATTTGGAAAGTCTGTGCATGTTTCTTCTCACAGGGGAAGCTTCAAGTGGAAGGTTGCCACTGCTTTGGTGCACTTGTGGATTTTGTTGTTTCAAGCTTAGAAGTGGACACTTAATTTTCAATAGTTACTACTAAGTGAATGCAGCAGCTGCAAGTTCGGCTTACTCACTAGGCCACTAGGTGGTGAGGGACTGTGATTCATTGTCATCCTGCATTGAGTTAGACAATATTTGCCTGCTTTTGCGGGATGCTGGCTAGTGTCTACTAGATTCCTGATGGAAAGAACCCCTTTCCGGTGGATTTTTGCTCCCATTGTAACAAGTTGTTGAAACAAAGTGGTCCAACAAGATGCAAAGTATTGCAAAACGGCCTGGTGCTCAGATAGGGTCTCGATAGGGTCCGATCGGCTCGCACACCAAACGAGTTCTTCCCCATCTCGGAGCTGGCGGTTCCACCCCGAGGAGGAAGTGGATTTGACCGGACGCTGCGAACTCTTGCGTTTGCAACTCGAGAGTGTCGCTGGTGACGTTGGTTTTCCCACCGAAGCCGTGGGCCGCTTGGCGGAGACCGAGCGTAAGGAGTCTGGAGCAGTTTTCTTCATTCCGCAGGTTGAGATCTCAGCTTGATTCAAGCGGACTTTTTCAGTCTCAGTTCTCCAGTTCCTATCTGAAGCCGCTTTGAAGTCATGCATTATAAATTCAGCATTTTTCGGGGAACGCCTTGGGCAGCTCAGGCCACTGGTTCCAGCTGAGCTGAGCGATGTTTTGTCCAGTCATGGTGAGGTTTCACGGTGGATCTTCTTGAAACCATGACGAGGCCCTGGCGTGCAAGGCAGACTCGGGTAGACATACCTTCTCGGACGACCAACTCCGACCTGAGGTATGGTTTGGCCTTTGTCCCGTCATCCAGTGGGTTGTCGCCTGGTACAGCGTGCCTTAGAGCTTCTTGGAGCACCGATGGTCTCGACGTGGGAAACGGTGGGTTTTTGGGGCAACCGAGGAGAGCTGGACATCGTCGTTTCTCCGGATTCGGCCAGCGAGAAATGGACGCCCTTCACCGAGAAGGGATGACAACGTGATCGAGGGGTTCCTGAGTGGGGAAAGCTATATATCCGTTGCTATTGGTCGACTTCAAAACACCAAGACGAAGGAAGGATCAACATGTTAATATGTAGCTGGTGGTTTGAAGGCGGCTTGAGAGCTAGCTAGCGCGCTCGAGTTCTTCAAGTGGGGACATTGCTAGTTACACTTTCCCATGTTGAGAATGGTCAAGCTGGTGCTAGCTCGCAGCTCCAGATGACTCGATGGAAAAGCTGCAAGCTGACAAAGCAAGAATATATAGGCATCACAAGGGTCGCAAAGTGGAGCGGCTCATTTGGTGAAGTGATGGTGCTGAACTGATTGGAGAGCCATAAGAGAAGTGCTACAGGAATATCAACAAGCACTTTGCCCCACCAGGATGCAAACCATACTTGAAAGTACTATACTATAGTGTGCTTTACCCCCTTTGCCTGTAGGTCCGCTATACCATTTAGACCACCACATGCATGAACTGCACCTGCGCTCCACTCCACTGCCGGTCACGCCACTCCACCGAGGGTGACGCCCTCCCCCTTCGCCGAGCGCTTGGCGCATGAGCTCGCGGGACACGTGAAGGAAGCGGCGGCCTCGCCCCACGCGAACTACGTCCTGCAAAAGGCCAGACCGACCGAGCACCGGACTCCGGTGAGGTGTGAGGTGATGGTCAGAAATCTGCCCGGTGAACCAAACCGGTACGGTAATGGTACGGTAGTGCTACGTAATAGACGTTGGAGGATGATCACGTGGGTGCACGGTGCACGCCAGAAATGCCTTCCCTCCTGGCTTGTAGGGCAGGCTGCTTGTATTGGCGATCTGGCCAAAAGTCAATGAGTAGATCGACCCTGAGGGTAAGCCAGGCAGATGCAGCCGCCTTCAGGTTGTGTATAAGTGTAGTTAAGGCTCTTTTTCTTCACTCTTGACACCGAGCCGCTCGTGTTGTTCGGAGCCGCTCGTGCCGAATATCCGGAGCCCTTCCCGTTTGCTCAGTTCGGCGCAGGAACTCCCCACCAAGTGAGAGCGAAACCAGAAAAGATCAAACGATTAGAGTCTAGAGGACCAATCAATGCCTTATCCATCCTTATCCAACATCCAGCGACCTGTCCGAAATGAATGCCTCGAACTAGCTGGCGACCTGTCTTCGACCTCGGACCGAAAGCGATCGGCGACTTCCGAGGTCATCACCCAACTCCGCCCCGGCGCGTCGACCTTCATCGCCGAGGAACTCTTGGAGAACGGCGCCAGGTGGAGAAACGGTTCACCCGGAAGCCGGGGGAAATCGAATGCTATGCTCGGTGGAGGCCATCGCGCTAGGTTGGAGGCCATCGCTACTAGTAACAAGAAGCTATAATTACACAAGGGAATAAAGATCGAGATGATGGCTCCAAAAACGAGGCTTCCAGTAGCCGTTTGGGACTCGACTCGGGCTGCAGTGCTCGACTAAGCAAAACCTAGTAGCATCTTTGCTCCGTTCGTAGCGATGCCCCTGGGTTAGGATGACAGCAAATGTTGGATGTGAGAGGTCATTGGCTTCAACGGCAGGGCCCACCTACCATGCTTGGAAATGCTTGGAAGACACATGATGTGTGTGCCGCAGGTGGTGGCTCAGAACATCATTATAAGAAGACAGTGGTTACCTAGCGAACCCTCCCTAAACAACAAAGCGCTGCAACTCCCAGACCTCATCATATTTTTTGGTGAAGATGTCGGTACCCTCGGGCTCAACTAACACGGAAAGTGGAACACCACCTGTTCATAGAGGAACATCGTCTTCCCAGTGGCAAGTTCTATCTACTTCTATGTTACGAGTCGGAGTTGAACACCTTGACTCATTGACCGACCTGCCCATGAACAGGTGTTTAAGCAGGCATGCCTTGGCATCGATCACTACTGGTAGCTTGTCCAATAGCATGCCAAGAATGTCCTTGGTTCCTGGCTCTTCCCGTATCTTTGACATATGACCTTCGTGTGCTACCTGCTGTGGTTGCCATGTGTCACTGTCACGGCGGACGCTCCTTTCGGAGGGTGGTGTCCTCCGGCGGTGCCTTCGGATTCATGCAGCAGTGCCAATGCGTCAGAGGAAGCTCTAGAGTTTCACAACCGGATGCACTCGAGCTTTACGGAGCATTTAGTGCTGTTATATAGACACCCAGGGCCCAGGGTCTGTAAAAGATGATCACTATTTTGATCTATTTTGAGAAAGGCCTTTGCTAACCATCATCACCCACTGTTACTGGTAATGGGATATGCCCAATTATAGACACCCAAAAAAGCTAGAAAAGTAGATCCCCACGTAGAAGATCTATTGGAAACCGTTCCAACTATAAATCTATTTGGGGATTTGTGTTGAATTGCCAGTTCTAGATCAACTGCAGCAATGAAGCCTTGCTGCACATGTGTTCTTGGAAGTGCTCTTCCAGGCCTCGCTCAAAAGAACAGGTATAGTAAAACTATAGTAATATAGTGGTTGTCATGTCACTCCTGCTCAACAGCTACTCCTGAATTCCCAAGAAATGCTCAAACAGCTGCTTTGGTAATTCCAACTAACAATCATTGTCTCCTGTTGAACACCCAATTGAAAGACATGAGAATCCCTGGAGGAGTTCACGGCATCGTTGCTCAACTGGGATGCCTTCAAGGCACTAATTTGGCCACTCAGCTGAACTGTGAACAAGCAGTTTCCCAGCGTTTGGCTCCCCTTAAATTGAAACCAAGATTTCCATGTCCTTTGTTGTTTGGGAAGAAGCATTTTTCACGAAAACACCGTCTGTGATACCATAGAGTATAGGCTTTGACAAGAGAGTCGCACCTTGAGAGCATTCGTCTACTTGGAGATTTTCTGGCGGAAGAAATCCTGCACCACCTGGCTTGGTGAAAACTATGGACAGACCGGTGGTGGCCAGGCTCCACAACGTCCATTGTGTCGATAGCTCTTGGCGTGATTGGCACACAATTATTTGCATGGTGGAGAAAACCAAAAACACCGTTGGACCATGCCACCTACTGTACAAAACACCTCAGAGAAACTATTTGATACATCATGCAACCCCCAGGGGTTGTTTTACATGTTTGTGTAGACACTGTGTAGATACCATTTGAACCAACTTGTTAGCCTGCAAGGCCAACGTCGATCTCAGCCTTCTTTTTGCCACTGGCAGATACGCTGCGGCAGATGGAGTGCACCTCCATCTACTGGAAGCATTGTGACAGCTCTGCTGCGATGAAGGTTGGGCACATGCCAGGCATGTATATGTGACATGTGGACAGACACCGCTGATGATGTGGACAGGCACCGCTGATGATGTGGACAGGCACCGCTGTTGCCCCGGATTGGATTCCGTGGATTGTGCCAGGTTTGTGCAGTAGAATTAGAATCTAGCTAGCTGGGCGAGCTGAGACTGTCCCCTTTTTTGCAGACTGTTCTTGTATATACTTGTTCTGTTGGTGGAGTGTCCACGCTGCTCCCCACCCAAAAGCCCCAGGTGCATCCTTTTTGTTTTGCAGATTTTTATTCAGCGATTTGAGCTTCAAGAACGGTTGTCGACAGTTGAAACTAAGCGTTCCAAGATAGCTGCTTCAAAGGGCGCCAGTGTAAGAATGAATCCAACGATTGTTTAAATGGGTACAACTAGGGGTGTTACTGTATGTCCCGTTATGTATACCTGCTGCTCCTCCAGCAGGCTGATTAGCATTCCAAGAGGATTTTGAACAATTTGGCCACCAGCATGCTGATTAGTATCCATCACGTTAAAAACCGTTCGGGCTTGATTTGGTGCTTTATGGAGGTACCAGTCCATACCCCAAACAGCAGCTATTTGTGATATGTTTATCATTACTGGAGTTGGAAACACAAGCGATTTCTGATCTTTTGAGGATCCTTGGGTGGTGGTACCCATTGTCCCCTATCCATGGTCGACACCTCCCCATCCACGGTTGACACTTCCTTTCTCCAGCCACAGGATCAGCCCTGCCACATCTTGTCATTCTCAGCGACGTCAGGTCGCAAACAAAGGCCCAAAAGTGGCCAGGAAACGCATGTTGAGACTGATCCCTGCACGATGGATTAGTCCATTAATCATTGATTGCTATGGTCGGTTGATCACATGTGTTTTTGCTTGTTTTCTTGTTTCAATTCAGTGGACCTACACGGCCCGATCAAACCTGACTATTTACGCCAACTCCAACAAAGATTCTTGGCAAGTTCAGGTTGACAAACGGACCAGTTCAGGTTGGTTGCTCCCTCATTCATGTTTGTTCTGTGAACTCACACTTGTTTCCAGCGATGCTGATCGGCTATGGTTTTGACTAGAAGCTGCATGCTGCCCAAGCAGTTCTGGTGGACCGCGCCACTGACTCGTTTATAGCATTTTGCATGGATCAGGGAACCTGGGATCAGTCTGTGTGCATGGTGCTTCCATGCCAGTGAAACAGCAGAGCTCTTTCAAAGCTATATGGCAAGCGTTTTTTGGAGACACTATACTATAGCCACTCAATATAATAGGCAAATCTAGTCAAGGTCCTCTTCAAACATGGAAACATGTTGAACTTTGTTCATTGTCATGGAGTGGAATACCCTGAAAGAGTTTGAATGTGACATCTGTTGCAGTGATGCCTTTGCCCCACTCAGCTTGTTGGTCCTGCGCAGCAACCATTTGGGCTGTGAGTGACTGTGTTGGCATTAGTGTGATCATGACAAGAAGGTCGGCGGCAAAATCCAGACCTTCAAAATCTTCAAAGGGAAGCGAAAAGGCATCCTCTTCTGGCTGCAATTCCCCAGCTTCTACCCCTCGAGGTGGATCCCCTGAGCGTGTTGGGAAATATGACCTGTCCCAACTGGCCAAATTGTGGGATGACCAAGAATCCGTGCGTGGTAGACTTCGTGAAGACCATCAATTGCTTCTGCACTTCGACCAGGAGACAAAGACAGCAATCGATGCACACGTTGAGGGTAATGTGGCAAATGTGAAGGCGAACTTGGCCGTGTTGCTACCTCTAGCTACCTTGATGGCCAAGAACTCGCTTTTGATGCCTTGCATTGATGGCCTTATCCAGTCTGTAGACCAAGTGTACAAGATTGCCAAACTTCCTCGCAACCTGGAGCATTGCTACCAAATGGGCTGGGCAATCAGGCGCCTCCTAGTTGCAGGCAAGAATTACTGCTACAAGCCCTCTCCGCCGGAAGCACCTAGGATACATAATAACTTTTGCGGTGTGTCTCCCTGTGCCCGTGCAAGATTGAGAGGGTAAGTGTTTTGCTTTCACTTTCATATATAGGTACAAGAACAAACCATAACAAATGTGTTTGCAAATGGCTGATTTGATACTATTTGATACCCATCCAAACCCCATCTCTGCCACACTGTCCTGCAATCAGCGACTCAGGATGATGATCTTCGTTTCCTCCTGCAACATTGGGGCTTCGATATGGAGGCTGCCTGGGTTTGGGACAATGGTCAGGCCTGAAGGTCTTTATAGATGTGTCCAATGATTTTTGTGTGCGTGCTGTCCATGAGTTCAAGACATGACATATACAAGGACCACACCAAACATCAAGCGGAGTCCTGCATTTGAGAAAACAGATTGATTGAAAGGGGTGTCCAAAAACAGAGGCAACATGCACTTCTTGTTATAAAGTTCTAAAGGGCCACAAGCGATCAATCTTTGAGGCCCCATTACATCAACGAAGGCTGAAACAACTTTCACCTGAGGGCCTCACCCAGTGACAGTGGTCTATAGATTGATACCCTTTATTCTATTGTTGAACACTTCTACAGGACTGGGTGCCACTCAACAAGAAGGAGAAGGTCCCGTCACCAGCTGCACTGACTGACCCAGTTCTTGCGCCTGTGGCTGTGGCTGTAGAAGAGTCTCAGCAAGAAGACTCTCAGTCTCAGCAAGTCCTGGCGGATCATCAAGGGGGTGAGCCACCGATTCTTTCTCAAATCCTGGACATCGATGGGGATCTGGAGAGAGCTTTAGAGCCTGTGCTTGCTCAGAGTGCACCGAACGATGCTGCAGAGCAGAAGGCGCCAGATCCCGTGCACACTGGTTCAGTGGTACCAGTGCCAAGCATGGATGACCCGATCCTAGGGCCCTCTGAGCCAGTCGGTGCAAACCCTTCAGAGGAGGAGCTGCTTCCATTCAACAAAGCCACCTGTGTATTCATTCAACCATGTAGTCAAAATACATCAAAATACAAATTCAGGGCACGAGCCCGTGTAGTGATCAAACATGTCACAGTGATGTATTGCTGCTTAGATTTGCCTATGGACATCAAACTGACTGGGTCATGAAGGTTGAAATTTCAAACCTTGATCCAGTCAGTTGATTTGTCAGGAGGTGAGCCATGAAGATGTTTGCTGCATTTCCTCAGATGAAGAATGCGGTGAAGGTAAAGGCTTAGATCCTGAAGCTCTGATAGATGTTTTGCGCCAACTTCAACAGATACTGGGCAATAGTTCAGAATTTTTCAACTTACCTGTGTAGAAGCCCTGAATCATAACTGCGCATAGGGTGCACCAATATCTCATGTCATGTGTCCCTCAAGCTGTCAAGGAAGGAAGCTGAGATGACCAAACCTCCAGGCATTGATGATTCCAGGGAGCCCGCACCTCTACCACCACCACCACCACCTGCTCCTACTCCGGTGGTAGAGCAAAGCTTGCCCAAGTGCTGTCCTCCGTCGTCAAACGCTGCATCAGCAGAACCTGGCGCAACAGGTGTGTGGATGGTTTTGTGGATGTTTTGGAAAGCCATGGGCAGTCCTGTTTTTACAACGGCAGTTTTGAAGGGGAAAGTATTGCAGCGATTGCTTGATTGACGTTGTTCGTTGCCCTTCTAGGTCCTATGATGGTGCTGGAGTCTCTGCCTTTGGCTGGTGATTGTGACCAGACCTTTGTCCCACACAGCCCCGCTACCATGATGAACACGGATGTCGTACTCCAAACCCTTGCAGATGTTGACGCCCATGAAAAAAATCCACCAAAGTCGCCAAAGGCTGAGAATGCTGCCACTGAAGCCAGCAAGGTGTGGGTTTGGCATGGCAAACCTTTCATAGGTTTCCTAAACTAAGACTATATAATTTGTATATTCAATGATCACTATATTCTTTGCACCACTTTAGTCCAAGTCTATGTACACTGCACACCCCCTGTTTAGGGCTTAAACATCTCGATGGCTGTCACCCCCTTCAGGCGGATCCTACGGAGCCCGGCCGTGGCGACCATGCATTGGAGCAACAGTTGTCGGACGATGTAGTCACACGTAGGATGCAGTTCAGGTTGAAAAAAACAAGAAGGCAGAGAGACAGGCAAAGAAGGCGAACAAAGAAGTCGAGAAGGCTGAGAAAAAGAAGGCTAAGGAGGAGAAGAAAAGACAACAAGAGCAGAAAAGAAAAGACAAAGCAGCTGAAAAGGATGCCAAACAGCGTAACAAAGCTGCAAAGAAATCTGACGCAGCTAGACAGAAGGAGCAGAACAAGTCCAAGAAGGGGAAGAAACGGACTGCCGCAGACATGGATGATCGGGAGGTGGAAGGTGAGCAGGCGGAGGTCCAGGATTCGACAGTTTCTGGCAAACCAGCAAAGAAGGAGGATGGGGAATCCGAAATTGCTGATTTTGCTCACCCTGATTGCCCTGAGCCTACTGCCCCAGCTTCCGAGCAAGCAGATTCCGATCGCCAGCCAGCCAAAAAGTGCACCAAGAAGAAGAAAAAGTTGCACCGTAGCAAGCTTTGCAAGTTGCGCCGCTTGGGATCTAAGGTTGATCAGCCGCACAGAGAGCTTGCACCTGAGGAAGCCCCAACCAAAAGGAAAAGGTCTCCGAAGTCTTCTGTGCTTAGCCACTCTGCAGGGTCTGCTGAACACAAAGCCAAGGGCAAGAGTCAAACTGTGAAAGCACAGAAGAGCAAGAAAGATCAGAAGAGTCAGAGGACAGCACCGAAGAGGAGCAGGAGCAAGAAGACAGTACCCCCACCATGTCCAAAGATCACTGACCTTGTCACACAGACCTTGAGTCAATGTGTCAACAGTGACTGCACGCATCCGAAGTGGAAACTGTCAAAAATGGATCAGGAGATGTTTCAAATCAGTGTCTACTGGTCGAGGCGTGCAGTAGGTGTGAAGGTGGCAAACACATGCCTCCCAAAGGTTGGCAAGGTTGGTAAGAAAGGCAAGGGCAAAGGCAAGAGAGGCGCTGCCAAATGGTCTCAAGTTGCCTACTTTGGTGG